GTGAAAAGAGCAGCAACAAACATGGATGTACATGTGTCTCTGCAATAGGATGAGTTCTTTGGGTATATGCCAAGGAGTGGTATAACTAGGTCAAACGGTTGGTTCATTTTTAGTTTTTAAAGTGTTCTCCACACTGCTTTCCATAGAGGTTGAACAAGTCTGCAGCCCCAAAAGCAGTGGATGAGTGTTCCCCTTTCCCAACATCCTCTCTGACCTTTGGTATCATTTGTTCTCTTGATCTTAGCCAGTCTGACTGGGGTAAGATGAAATCTTAAAACTGGTTTTAATTTGCATTTCCCTAATTATTAGTGATGTTAAACATCTTTTAAGATGTTTCATAGCCATCTTTACTTCATCTTTTGAGAACTCTCTGTTCAGCTCCTTAGCCCATCTTTTAATTGGGTTACTTCTTGATTCTCTGGTTTTGAGTTCATTATATATTGTGGATATTACACTGTCAGATGTGTCGCTGGTGAAGATTTTCTCCCATTCTGTGGGTTTTCTCTTCACTCCCTGGTTGCTTCCTTTGATGTACAGAAGCTTTTTAGTTTAATGAGGTCCCATTTGTTGATTCTTGCCCTTGTTTCCTGAGCAACTGATGTCAGGTTTAGAAAATCCTTTCCTACACCTATATCTTTTAGGTTTTTGGCAATGTTTTCTTCTAACAGTTCTAGAGTTTCAGGCTTTACATTGAGGTTTTTATCCCTTTGGAATTGACTTTTGTGCAAGGTGAAAAATGGGGGCTTAGTTTCATTCTTCTACAGGTGGAGATCCAGTTTTGCCAGCACCATTTGCTGAACATGCTGTCTTTCCTCAAGTGAATGTTCTTGGCTCCTTTGTCAAATATCAGGTGGCTGAAATTGCATGTACTCATATTTGGGTCTTCAATTTTGTTCCATTGATCTATGGGTCTAGTTTTATGCCAGTAGCATGTGGTTTTTATGACTAAAGCTCTGTAATACAGCTTAAAATCTCATACAGTAATGCCCCTGGTATTGCTCTTAGTGCTAGGGGTTGCTTTGGCTATTCAAGGTCTTTTGTGCCTCCATATGAATCTTAGGATGTTTTTTTTTTCCAATTCTGTGAAAAATGTCATGGGGATTTTGATTGCATTGAATCTATAAATGGCTTTTGGTAGGATGGTCATTTTCACAATATTAATTCTTCCAATCCATGAGCATGGGAGGTCCTTCCATCTTCTGATGTCTTCCTCAATCTCTTTCTTTAAAGATTTAAATTTTTCATTGTAGAGCTCTTTAATGTCTTTGGTGAGGCTTATTCTGAGATTTTTTTGTTGTTGTTGAGGCTTTTGTGAAGGGGAATGTTTCCATGTACTCTTTCTCTGATTGCTTGTTATTGGTATATAGAAAGGCTACAGACTTTTGTAGGTTAATTTTGTAACCTGCCACTTTACTGAAAGTGTTAATAATTCCTAGGAGTTTTCTGGTGGAGTTTTTGGCATCTCTTAGATATAATAGAATCTACAAAAAGGGATAATTTTATCTCTTCTTTCCCAATTATTACTCCTTTAATTTCCTGCCCTTGTCTTTTTGCTCTTGCAAGAGTTTCAGTCACTGTGTTAAAGAGAAGTGGGGATAGTGGACAGCCCTGTTTGGTTCCTGATTTCAAAGGGAATGCTTCCAGTTTTTCTCCATTTCGAATGATGTTGGCAGTGGGTTTATTATATACGGCTTTAATTATGTTGAGGTATGTTCCCTCCAGTCCAATTCCCTCTAGGACTTTGAACATAAATGCATGTTGAATTTTGTCAAAGGCCTTCTCTGCATCTATTGAGATGACCATGTGGTTCTTGTCTTAAAAAACTCATTTATATGATTTATGATGTTTATTGACATGTGTATTGAACCATCCCTGCATCTCTGGGATAAAGCTGACTTGATCATGCTGGATGATCTTTTTGATGTGTGTCTCTATGTGGTTTGCAAGTATCTTGTTGAGAATTTTGGCACCTATGTTCATTAAGGATATGGGTCTATCCATATGGGTTTTCTTTTTTGGTTCTATATTTACCTGGCTTTGGTATTAGAGTGATGCTGGCTTCATAGAAGGAATTTGGAAGTTCTCCCTCCATTTCTATCTTTTTGAATAAATTAAGTATTATTGGATGTAAATCTTCTTTAAATGTCTGATAGAATTCTGCTGTAAATCCATCTGGTCCTGGGCTTTTTTTAGTCAGGAGGTTTTGTATTACTGTTTCAATTTCTTTTTGTGTTATGGGTCTCTTTAAACTGTTATTCTCTTCTTGGTTTAGTTTTGGTAGTTCCAGTGCCTTTAGATATCTGTCCATTTCTTTTAGGTTTTCATATTTAGTAGCATATAGGTTTTTAAAGTATTCCCTTAGAATGTTCTGTATCTTATTGGTGTCTATTGTGACGTTTCCCCTTTCATCTCTTATTTTGTTGATTTGGAGGTGCCCTTTCTTTCTTTTCATTAACTGGGATAGCAGTCTGTCAATCTTGTTTATCTTTTCAAAGAACCAGCTCTTATAGTCGTTGATTCTTTGTATTGTTTTCTGTGTTTCGATTTCATTAATTTCTGCCCTGATTTTTGTTATTTCTTCTTGTCTGCTGGGTTTGGGTTTCATTTATTGTTGCTTTTCAAGTGTGTTGAGTTGCAATGTTAAGTCATTTATTTGTGTTCTTTCCAATTTTTTGATGTAGGCATTTAGAGCTATAAACTTCCCTCTAAGGACAGCTTTCAGAGTGTCCCAGAGGTTTTATTGTGCTGTATTGTGCTTTTCATTTAGTTCCAGGAATACTTTTCTTTCTTTCTTAATTTCTCTTTTGACCCATTCACCATTCAGGAGTGTTCTGTTTAATCTCCATGTGTCCATGTGGTGATTAGGGCTTCTTCCAGTGTTGATTTTAAACCTTATTACATTGTGGACTGATACAATACATGGAATTATTTCAATCTTTTTATATTTGTTGAGGTTTGTTTTGTGCCCCAGTATATGGTTGATTTTGGAGAAGGTTCCATGGGGTGCTGAGTAGAAAGTATGTCATTTGCTGCTTGGGTGGAATACTCCGTAGATGTCTGTTAGGTCCATTTGATATATGGTATCATTTAATTCAGATGTCTCTC